TTTGATTGATTGAGCAATCAGTAAGGTGAACTATGCTTTGATTATTTGCACTACTATGTCCAACTCACACTTGAGTACCGTGGTTGTTTCCGCCGCTTTACGCACACACTGGATCGTTAAGAAATACTGGTCCGTTCCGGTCGACCACCAAGCGGGAAGAAAGCGAGTTGTTGTTGTTTTGTCTTAATGGCGCTTCCAGGCTATTTCAGGTTATTTGCGCCAATAACTGTATGTTTGTTCATACACTTTATTAATCAGCATCACATTACGGAGTGAGGAAAAAGGTCCAGTTTTAGAGGCAGGATGAAACCAGAGTACCCGGAGAAAACCTGCGAGAGCGAGTATGGTCTGGAAACCAAATGCACTTAAAGCCTGGGCCAAGCCCAGACTGGAACCCGGACCTCATTGGTGCAAAGCGAGGAAAGAACCGCCACGCTAACCCGCTCCCCCAAGAGAGCAAGTCACGCCTGCTGCTTGTTTTATAGGGACTACTTGGCTTAACTGTTATATTGAATTAATCATATACAAACATATTCATCTAGCAGCCGGGAACCAACGATGGTTCACTTAAATTCCGGAAACTGGTATCGATACTGCATTGCGTTACAATATCTCCAGAAAAGTTCAATTTAGGAGGGAAAAACTAAGTTGTTTAATTAGACAGCACTTAGAAATTTTCAGACCAGTTCCATACGATTTGTGCACGGGGTGTCAAGTGGCATCTGTATTTACCCATTAAACGTTGAGAATAGAAATTAAAGGTTTAAATTTGCGTCTGAACGTCTGAATGTTAGGCGTAACGTAGACCCGTAATCGGGGCCCGACGTACAGGCCTACTCCGTCATAGATTTCACCTGACCAAACAGAGTCTTCTTATTCGCTCTTTGCACGCTGTCGCCATGTAAGACTCAAACACCCATGGCGGCCATATCTCGCCCCACGGGTCGCGGCATGCAGATCGTGCTCGGCAGCTGCCTAAGTATGCCAACACAATCCGTTCGGCCACTTTTCGTCGTATTGGTTTGGCTGGCGTGATTACGACGTCCAGTTCCGTCTGAGACAAGCGCGCATGCATGCGCGTTCTTGGGCCAGCACCGACGCAGAATTGTAACTGACATTAGTAGGCGCCCCAACTTAAACTAATTTTCGTCCCTACTCGTACTCAAAGCCTGTGCCACAGCGCGTCTACGGATCGTCCAGCGCCGGGCCTGGTCACGTCCCTCAGCACAATCAACGAGCCACGAGGATACGTTCCGACTTGAACCAAGGTCAATGCTTTAGACCTGAATGTCGGTTTTCCCACCAGTGCTTCGCATGCATGTCGCTTGGTCACGCGGCCAACAATTGCCGAGGTAGCTCTCGCACCGCACGGGCTACAGCCAACTCAACAGCCACTGCCATGCAACCCCGGTAAAAATAACTAATTTGCTCCCACTTCTGAACACATATCCGGTCAAACAAGATGTGGACATACTTAGAGATGGGTTTACCTTTGGTTTTCGTTTGGGTTATAACGGCCTTTGCGTTAGTTCTAATCCACGGAATTTCGTGTCCGTTCGTGAGAACGAAACATTGTTGCGGGAGAAAATAGACCGTGAGGTAGGATTAGGTCGCATTGCTGGTCCATATACGAGCCCGCCTTTGCCCAATTTACGCTGTTCCCCAATCGGTCTTGTACCCAAACAAACACCAGGCCAATATCGTTTGATTTACAATCTTTCTTCCCCCCTTGGCAACTCAGTTAACGATCACATTGACCCATTTCTTATGGCTGTAAGTCACACCAGTTTCGATGTTGCCGTTTCTCTGGTTTCTAGGGCTGGTCCCAGTGCTCTCATGGCCAAGTCCGATTTTAAATCGGCTTTTCGCTTACTACCCGTTCATCCAGATTATTTTGATTTGTTCAAGGGTTCAGCTTTAAAGGGTCATTTTACTATGATAACGGTAGGCGCATGGGCTGTTCTATATCTTGTGTAACATTCGAAAGGTTTAGCACTTTTCTTGAGTATTGTGCACGCCAAGTAGCAGAAACTGACAATATCATTCACTACCTTGATGATTTTTTTTTTTCGTTTGGAAGGCGGATTCTAATGAATGAGCCCGTGGGTTGACTTTCTTCACAGTTGTCTGCAACAATTTTGGAGTTCCCTTGGCGTTAGACAAAACTGAGGGACCAAGCACTCGCATGAGTTTCCTTGGCTTAGCGATCGACACTATTGCACAGGAGATACAGGTCCCATCAGACAAAATCACCACGGTCATGGAAAAATGAGATAATGCATTAGGTAATTGAAAACTTACACTGCGGGAACTCCAATCTTTGTTGGGGAGTTTCAATTTTATATGTAAGGCTGTACATCCTGGCCGTGCATTTCTGCGTCGCTTGTTTGATAATGATTTAAACTAGTGGCGTTCAAAAGCCACATCATCGTGTCCGTATTTCGTCGGGGGTCAGAGCTGACATGTTGGCTTGGGAGAACTTTTTGACACATTTTAACGGTTCAGCCAGGCCCGCTTCAAACGTCCAACCGTGTCCTGCCGTGTCTAATTCAATTAATTGCGATCGACATAAAAGAAGTTCGGCAGTTGCTTCAAACGCCAGTTTTCTGTTGACCTTAATGCAAAATGACAACATGGCGGACCGAGAAAGAATGATATTGCGACATACTCTCACTGCGAGGAGAAGACGCTTCTTCTTGCAACAATCAGTACTACTCAATTTTAATGCAACAAGGAGAGTTATACTCACTTGTAATACTACTCCTCCTTTCCAGGGAAAAGTTACAAGACCCCGGCCTTCTCGACGGTTGGTCAAGAATACAGCTTGGCTAGAATTGATGCTAAATACGAACTCTGAGAAAAGATTCAAAGGCCATTATGTGTTTCAAAAGGAACCTTGAATTCATCTTGTCACACATAAAACATGATTTAGAGCGGAACACAGTAACAGAAATCCCCATATATCCAAGACACAGGTTAGGAATTTGTCTTTACAGACTAGCCAGAGGTGACTACAATTATACTGTTGCGGAAATGACAGGTGTGGTGCGCCGCCATCTTGTTTTAACGCCTAAACGAAAACAGCTGTTGTGGGTACATGCGCATTTTAAAATGGCCCTGATGATGTTCTGAGTTGGGACGTTTAAATTAAATCAGACACGGCAGAAATTCGACGTTTGAAGCTGTGCCGCTCTTCTGCCCTTAAAAGCGGCAAAACCTGTCGAACTTTCGGCAGAAAGCCGGCAGTTGCTTCAAACGTCGAATTTTTGCCGTGTCTAATTCAAATTTTGGGTCATTATTTGAATTAGACACGGCAGAAGTTCGACGTTTGAAACGGGTCTCATTTTCCCTGAGAATATTTTATACCCAGCAAGAAATGAGACCGAGGGGTACCCCCCCAACATGTCTAATCCCTATACACATTCCAGACTATTGTTACTTAGCACACCCCCCCAAGATGTCTGAAAGGAATACCCCAGGTTCCTGCGAGACAATGACCAACACAAAGCAGGGGGGGGTTCTCTCCGTCTCATACCTTGCTGCATATGGAACATTTGGCACCCCAGCGACACTGACTCTTCGGCAGAGATAGTTTTGGCGCATTCTTTGGGGGTCGTTGGACACCCAGACGATGGCCCTTAGCAGTTTGTATATGCAGCTGTCAATTGCTTTTCTTGAGATTTTCCCCATTGTGCTGGCACTGCGTTTGTGGGGACAGTATTGCGGAATAAGCGGGTAGTTGATAACGGTATTGCTAATGCTCTCTCCCGCTTTCAGATGACCAGATTTCGACAGTTGGCACCCGGGGCAGATCCCACTATTACTCCCTTGCCAGCAGACCATTGGAATAGATTCTATTGCACGTCGAACTCATACAGTTTACCAACGTGCTTGGCAGTTTTCTGCTGGTTCCTTTTACGCCATAATCTTTCTCCCGATTCCCATCCGTCCTTACATCAGCTTGTACAATTCATTGCATTTTTGTCAATTAACCAATACTCCCTTGCTACAATAGCAAGGGAGTATCGTATATTCGCCCATTTCTCGTTTTACTTCTTCGAATCGCCTTGCCTTGAGAATCACACCGGAAAAGTTTTGGTTGCTTTTATTCCTTAATTTTCGCAGTTGTTTGCCTTTCTGCCTGTTTGGCGGCATTTCATTCAGAATGCCGTCACATGCCTTAGGCTTATCATTCCAGTATGCTAAAATCCCTGATTTTGTAGGCACCACTGAAAATATACTGATTGCTGGGTGTACAATATCCGAATGGCGGCAATATAATTATTATATGATTTACGGCTCCAGTTATGCCGGGACTCTTGCTTAATTTGTTGTTGTGTTGTTATCGCAACCACTGGATCGGAGGTGATGTTATTGTTGACGTTAGAATTGGGTTTCGCGGATCGCGTACGGCCGGAAACAACTTGGAATATTGGCTATTCTTAATATTTCACGGGTCGCGTACGACCGGAAACATAACATGAGATACATTTAGATCATTTTGCGGGTAGCGTACGACCGGAAATGGATTGTGATTAATTATGTAAATGACAAAAAAGTAGCTTTAGCGACTGTACATACAGATCAGTTTCTGCGGTTCCCTACGACCGGAAAATGTCATGCTATTGATAGTTATCGATCTGGCAATAAACTGCTCTGACCATACATAAACAAAGTTAAGCTATCTTGCCAATGCCTAATTTCTTTACCAGCTGTCTTGTCGCATGGGGAAATAAGTACTCATTATCATGATTCCTATGTAATTTGAAATGTAGGTCCTGGGGCCTATGTATAATGCCCTTTATATTTTGTTTGTTTGGGTTTGTTCATGTGTTTGGAAAGGGCATAATTACAACTAGAAATCATCTCGCCGATTACTCTTTCGCACGATCATAGACCTGAGTAGAAGTATGCAAACTGCAAGGTGCCAGCTACCGGTACCAAGAACAAAAATTTAAAAAAGAACAACAAAATAAAAGACACCTTCTCTAATAACGCTAGAAAAGTGTATACACCAAATTTAATTTCCGATTTGTTGCCATCTAGGTATACCGAGCTAATGTATTGTATTTCACGCTTGGGCAAGTTAATAAACCTAATCCAGACGACAGTCATAATGCCACACTACGCAATCAATCCAGAACAACTCTTGGTATAATGGTAAACAAAAATAAAGCTTAAGAAGCCATTAAAAAAATTGCTTATGTAAAATTAGCTACAATATTGATCGATTAATTGATACTGTTCTTTATATTCATTGTTAGATTATACCGGTGAACACACACAATGGCTATAAAACTGTACCAATATATCAAAAATTAAAAAACACCACAATGATAGATAAATGATATGTATTTTTTCTGAGATAAACGAAATGTTTCGTTAAACACATACCTATGTCTATGAACTATAACCTACAACGTATCTGACACATCTGCAAAATTAGGAGTATATTTAGGCAGTATATGTAAACGTCATCGGTTAAAAATAATGCTTTGATGTAGGAGGCGGTACCTAAAATACGACAAGGAAGAAACAAAAACAATAAATTTCCATATGCTTAATCTTCCAACGCCAAAAAATGCGCATTTTCAAATTCGTCCAGCCAGTCCACAACACAGCCACATGGTTTTATAGGAAAAGAATTCTCATAATATTCGAATATTTCTCAACGCTTCAAATTTGGCAAATTGACTAATCAAACAAATTTAATCATTTCATTCCGAGTCTTACCAAATTATAGGTTGGCATTACCAGTGCCTGTTTTTCTTTCAACCGAAGTATTTCCGGTGTTTGTCATCCTTGTTCCGTATAATTATTTGCACAGTGTATTTGTCTATTAATGAAACTGTAAATCAGCTACTAAATTACCAACAGTCAACGGCCGACATAACCAGATAAAAACTGCATTTCTACTGTTAAATCCAACCCAAATTTTAATGTTTCCGCTGCGAAGAAAATTCAAAACAAATTACCAAACTGGAATACAAAATATAAGTGTCATAGGCCTACTAGTAGTGGCAACTAAAATGGAAAACCAATACGAAAAACTCTGATCAAAAATGAAACATTAAGATTTTTTAGTTAGCCACATAGGCTTAACAGCTCTACTTTAAAGTGAAGTTTGAAGCGGTGCAACTACGGATGAGTACTACGGTACTTCGTGGTGTTGATGACGGTATGTTAAAACTTGACGAAAAAAACCACAGAATTCTCAATGTAGTAGCATAGCGCACGCGCTAAAAACTTTCAAGAGTGAAAGACAGTGATGAAAATTGGTTAAAAAGAAGCAAAAGATATACTATCGAAAAGTGTCCTAATTCATTGAGTAATGTCACAACTCTTCATCATCCATATTATTTTTAAAAAATCACAGCAGGCACCGCAAACAAAAAGTACGTTATAATTATTTCTGCTGTATTAGATGTTTTTAAACGCCCCATAGGATATAAAATACACTAACGCAAAAGGTGCGCTATTGTGGTCGTACGGTCAGGCCATTCTTACTCTGTCTTGAGGAACTCATCCTTCATAGCTGGGATAATTCCCTTTTGGAAGGCAATATCCAGCAGCTCATCCACGTCAGCAATATTGGGATATTGATGGAGGGCCCACTTCAAGTAGACCTCGAACTCATTCCAATCCACCATGCCGTCGGCGTCCATGTCGATGGCCTGTAGAGCCCTCAAGGTGTCAGAGCAGCGATAGCAGGAGAAGTAGGGCGCCATGAAGCCGTTATAGAAGGAGTCAAACTGCAACATATCGTCCCCTTGCACCTCGTCCTTCAGGTCCCACTCGTCCCATATCTCGCGAACTTTGACAAGTAGGTTCTTAGCGTGCTCCCCTTTCACCTGGAACTGGTCGATGGCGTCTCTCATTCGCTGGTTCAGACTTCCTCCAGCTCGATCAAACAGCAAGGCCAGACCCACCATGCTCATGTATTCTTCCTTCCTAATATATTTCAAAACATGTAAAAAAAAGAAAAACCCTATCAACTTTGTTTACCCTGATGCTAAGCCTTCGAAAAATCGGGAGTATAGAACACAGGAAACACGATCCTGCATTGTCACTCTATTAACTGGAACTAGAGAATTCTGTTTGGAAGAGAAGTCTGTCATTGATTAACATTTGATTAACATGAAAATAGACGGTAATATTTGTGGTAAACTCTGCCATCAACTTGGCAAGGTCAATACACTTGTATAATTGTCTGATATGTTTAGGGAATGTGAGGTAGACGTAAAGGAAATACTCTTCGCACCGGCCAGTGCGAAGATCTTCCAGAATAAGCTCCTTCATCTTGTAGGCCAGATCCAAGGTAAACTGTGGATCGTCTCCAAAGAGATCGACCATGCGCTGACGGATCATCTCCTTGCTGGCCATGGTGCTGATTCGCACGGGAGCCTTCTCACCAAAGAAGCTGGCCAGGTCGAACTCCTCCTGCTTGAGATCAAAGACGAAGTCAATGGCTCGCGCACCGAAGACCGGCTGTTTGATGTGCGGGTCTTTCCCTGTGGTGATTTTGGTCACGTTGATGGCGGCTTTCCTCAGGTAAGTGCAGTTGAACCTCTTCAGAACCTTCTTGTTGCCGAGCCGGATGAGGTTCATTAAGGTGACGCAGGATGGGGCGTTACCCATGGACGCACCCTCAGCGCAAACACTGGCCCAGATGCCGTCTGCACCATCCATAAGAACCTGATAGGAAGCACAGAAAATTCAGTTGACTCGGCGCCTTAAAACTAGGTCTGATATCGTTAATTGAATATCGTTGCATATCGTGAACAACGTTGCATTTATCCTAGTTGCAGTTGTGGATTAATTTAATGCGCCTCAAGTTACAAACTTTCAGGAAATCTTGAATTAAAAGTAATGCAGTGTGTTTTAAAAAACGGAAATAAGATGAATCAGTTTCTGAAAATGTGATGGATCATTTTTATCGATGGTAAATATAATCTGTTTCAGCATGATGTCCTCTTTCTTAAAACATCAAGAAAATCATATTCCCGTCACGCATGACTGAGCAAAACTTGATTTAATGGACCAGAAATAGCTTTAAACCAGATGCATCACAGGTATGCACAGCGTGAAGCACTTATAAAGAAAAAACAAAGAGCATAAATACAATACATAAATCACTAATTCCAAGAGTACAACAAATAGGAGCTCATTCTTGCGGCAGCTTGATCCAATGTCCCCAAACATGCCCCTCTTCTTTAAACGCAACATCTGCCTTTGTTCTCATCGCTTTTAAATGGGTATCATGCATTTTGCAGATGATGGTTACTATAGGTTTTCCCGGCCGAATTCATCATCTTCGCGCTCGAATTAGCGACAATTTCATTAAATTAGTACGAAATAGATTGAAGATCTAGATCACCATTCAAAGACCAAAACTGATAATTCAATTTCATTCTAAGAGCATGCGATTGCGCAATCTTTTTTATTAAAGAAGTGAATGGTCAGCATTGAAATTCGCGCGGACACTCCCGCGGTATGTGTTTTGGCGTTCAATTTTGTGAATCGGAAAGCATTTGTGGGATTCGTGCATTTTGGGACCCCTGTTATTTATAATTTATACCAGTGATATATCTCCATGCATTCCTAAAAACTGTCGGCTGTACATGTACGCGGACGACTCTAACAATAACGTGTAGCTCCTCCACCCGAGACGAAATTGAGCGTAGTCTTAACATAGCCACGGCTAATATCCATGATTGGGTCGTCCAAAATAAAATGATAATTAATGCTGCCAAAACCAAGTTTATGATTATCGGCTCGAAACAAAGGATGATCTCTGTTGACCTTAATATCGTTCTTAATAGCGATATAGTTGAACAAGTTACGTCCTATAAGTGTTTAGGAGTTACAATTGACGAAACACTCACATAGTCTCCCCATGTTGATAATATTAAAAATAATATTTCCTCCAAACTAGCCATGTTAAGTAAAATTCGCCACAACATCCCTAAAAGCAGTCTACATACTTTAGTTAAAGCGTATGTATTACAAAGTTTAGATTATTGCAGTACTGTTTGGGGAGGCCGTTACCATGCACACTGTGAGTTGCTCAACAGAGTGTTGAAAAGAGACGCCAGATTAATTCTTGGTTGTTAATACCGAACGGCTTCTACTGATATGTTTAATGAATTGAAATGGTTAAGTTTTACCGATAAGATTTGTTAAAAAAAACATTCTAGTATATAAATGCATGTACCATTTGTGTCCAGAGTATGTGGCAGATCTATTCTCAAAATTTACTAACAGCTACACGAGGCAAAATAATAACCTTACTCTGAGGGTTCCCTTAGCCAAGACGGAAAGCCTGCGCTCGAGCTTTGCTGTTTCTGGGACTAAACTGTGAAACGATCTGCCGAATAATCTCAGACAAATTGAGTCTCTTCCAATTTTTAAAACTGAGCTTTTCAACTATTGCTTACATAATACACATATCTTTCTATATTTGTGTCTTACTTTCTATTTTTATTTTCATTAGTATATATTACTCAATGTTCTGCTCTCTGTATTACTTATACGTGTGTGTATCATACATACATGTACATTGCCATTTTTAATTTACGTATATTTTATATTAGTTTTGTTCTTGTAAATTTATGTTGTAATTTAGTTTTACTACTTTTAAAAGACTTTAATGTCTTTTTTATGGTGCTTTTGTTTTTAAACTGAAACACGCAGGGCCCGAGTGGAAACCAGTATGTTTACTGATTTGGCTCACCCGAAATGAAATGAAATAAAATGAAAGTATGTTATTCATTTAAAGTTAAATCTTGTCATTCTCGTTTCCCTTTTACTAATGTATGCAAAATATTTCATGGAAGGATTCAATTGGTTCATGGGTAGAGATCTCTATAAAAATAACTATTGATCAAAGCTTATTTGTTAATTTTTTAATTCGTGTTTTATTTCTGTTTGAATTGTTATGAAAGAATGAATAACAGCGAAGTAGAATTATTTATATCCCACATATAGACAAATTGGGAAATGTCTAAAAAGGATGAGAAAATAAAATGAAATATGCAAAAACTGTACTTTAAAAATGTGACCAAAAAGAAAATAAGCCATTGTTGAAGAGAATCAAAATTTTACTATACATGCACGTTTACGGAGAGAGAGGGAGTGTGTTTCTTGTGTATAAAACAAAGAAATTACAAATCAGTAATTACATCTAAAGAATTTTTCTTTCCGCATCCACTATAAAGGTCAAGGGAGAGTTTCATGTCTACATTTTGATTAAACAGGCAATCAGTGCTAGAGCAAATAAACTGTATTCTTGATTTGTTTGAGATAATAAAAGTATACATTCAAGTCAATAGGTGTAACACATTTCCAGCGTGTTTTCTACTGGTAGGTTCCCTTTCAGTTTAATTTGCGCATCTCAATTTGCCGTATATTCCTCTTACCTTGAAGTTTTCTAATTTGAAGGGTTCAAAATACGAACATGATTTCCCATAAACGAAATTGAAAGCAAAATTCAGGAGGAATTTCTCATTCCAGTTATCCAGCGTGAAATCGAATGACGGTTATACACTGTCCAATTCAATCAAATTAGTTCTAAACTGAATTTGTTACACTACACTATTCGACGCCTGTGAACGAGTTCGAAGTCTATTGTATGAAAAAGAAACATGGGAGCAACCAGATTAAAAAAAGTGTTGGAATACGAATGAACAATAATGAATTTGACTGTGAAGATGACGAATTCGGCGGGGGAAAATCTACATTTACATGAATAATTAGTTACATTCAAGAAACAAACAAATTTATCTAGGTTTCTTTTTTAAAGACACCCTGCATAGTTGGTCTTCCGATTGAACCTTAATAGAAAATAAGATCCACGAAACAGAATACGCCTTTGCAACCAATATAATTGGAGTAAAAAAGACCGAAGTATTTTAGAGTCAGGTTTGAGAAGTGACCTTTTCCTCGCCTTCCACTTCTAAAACCTGGCTTCAAACCCCTTTAAGTAATAAAAGGAAAAGTTGGGTTTTATTTCCTAGGCTGAAACCTAAAACATAATGATGTCAAGCTTTATTTACATGTGCTCTTTCCCATGAGGGATCGATTGTGTCTTACCTCTCGTCTCTATCTGGGATTTTCTTGCCAACCCTAAAAGTGCAAATTTCTTTATTGTCCTCTCTCCAGCACCCCAAATAGGAACACATCTTTGAGTATAAACACAACCTTAGAAACACAAGGTTAGAAATAAAAATCTTTTATGTCAAACAACCTTCTCCCCTCTCAATGATAACTGTTGAACTCTCTCCTATAACAGATCTAGTGACTGCTGTTTATACTACAATATTGTGGACATCGACACCTGACCAGTTAATTATAGAGAAAAATACATAACTTCGACTCACTTGCAGAGCTGTCGCATCACAGTAGCCAAACTTTTCGTGGACGTGAACAAGCAGATGTCCCTTCCATTTGTTGTCTTCCATGACTTTACGGATATATCGGGCCCACATGCCGCACTCCTCTGGCAAAGACTTCCCTCTCGGCTCCTCGAACATCATGCCAAAGGGACGGCGATTGGGCGGCAGGTTGGCTAGGTAGGATACTACCTCAAACACTCGATCAGAGTGTTCAGGCATGACGTCAGGGAGGTCACGGAAGCTGAACATCATCTTGGCCTTGGGGCTGAGATTCTCGAAGCACCAGTCGATCCACTTGCTAAGCAGTGCGCACATGTCACTTATAGAGAACTTGCTGAAGTCATACACAATATCACCCAGATCCACCTCAAAGATTACGCTGTAAAGGCCCGCTGGTTGCAATTTTCGGATACCAACGGGAACGTTCACAGTGTCTGGTATCTTGCATTTTGCACCTGATTACAAAATAATGAACATGATTCTCAGATAACATTTCAATGAAATTTCTAGATGTGCTGATATGATTGAAACTTAAATGTAAGCCACTTTCTTAAATCAGCAGTCTTTTCCCAAGGGATCACTAAAAGCGAGAGATTTTGGAGAAATTCCAGTGTCCACAGCAGAGGGATTTTTATGCTTAACAGTCAGTTGTAATATTAGCCTCTGTTTTATTGTGCGGCAACATTTAAATACACGATTTTTTCACATGTACTTTTTGACCAAGTCTTCCTCCTTCTTTTGGTGTTTGTTGCAGTTCTTTTGGTTTCATGCACGAATGTACAGAAGACATTTAATGATTTCAGACGAAGTCTGACTGGCTTCTACTCCACAGGGTATATGATAGCTACATAATAAAAAATTGGGCAGCCATAAAATGTCCAATTTTTATACTTACCCTGTAAACAAAATCGAATTGCATGCTTTGAATTTGCAGTAGTGCAAAACTTTTAAAAGTAAATGGACTTTTAATTTTGCACTTATTGAAACAATGATACTTTTGGAAATGTTTCATCCCGATGATTGGGTGATGATAATTAAGAAATACCTGCAGTGATCTCGGAGAATGCCCACAGGCCTTCTGGGTCCTCCCCTCTTTCCTTCAGCTGCATGATGAAGATGTCATCCACACGAGTCATATGCGAAAAGGAGGCCACGATGGTATGCTTGAATCCACACTTCTTCACCTCTTCATAAATCTGCCACTTGCTCTCCAGGGTGTGGCCCCGCAGCTGTCCCACAGTGCTCTCTCGGATCGAGTTGTCCAACACGAAGATATCCAAGTCACGGAGAACCTGGTACTTCTCCAGTGCCTTTGTAACATCCCGCTGGTAGGCCTTAACCAGTGGTTGCATTTTTTTCGAAGCCATTTTGTTCTGCTCACTGAATCAACAAAAAGAAAAATATGACAGTGAAAGAGAAATATCTTGGCATTTCTACCTAATTCCCCTAATTATGATCCTGCAGAATGCAGTCGAACGTAAGTGTGAAGCTTAAGAAGTTAATTTTTATTCTCCAAATTACGTGCACTTTTTGTGGAAGTAATGCCTTAAGGTAAAGCAGACTTGTTCTTTCAAAAGCGTGTATTCTGGAAAAGCTGGAAAATCCAGAGGGGTGATGTTTCAAATGAATTTTACGCAATATAGTACTGTGACGAGACAACTGACAACTTTTTGTGGCGGACCAGCATACTGGCCTGATCGGAGATAGAATTGACCTGGCCTAACCCCACAAATATATTTAACCTTACGCAAGAATGAGCGGCTATGCATACGCAAGGGGGATATCAGTTAACGTACGGTGGACTGTGCCTTAGGAGCTGTTCGTTTGGTGAAAGTTTACCACCGCTCTGTGATTAGGTAATTGATCCCAATGTCAATACAGGTTCCAATAAATGTCAATACAAGTGATACGGGACTGAACTAAACCTCACGGTGACCACTGGTTTCAAAGGCCATTTCTATTATTGGTATATTCGATGTCAGTGCTCATTTATCCTTTATACATGTATACATTGGCAATTAATTATGTACAAAATGATCCTCACGGGTAGGTGGTCTTACGTGATCAACTGCACCACGAACGTGATTAATCAACCTTATCTTTAACCTACACTAGGGTAACCCTCACGGTGATCAGGATAACCCTCACAGCGATCAGGGTAACCCTCACAATAACCAGATAACCCTCACGGTGATCAGGGAAACCCTCAATGACCAGGTAACCCTCAAGTTTAAATAAATAATCTACCAATGGCTTATAATGATAAGTCTTGACCACACAAGCAAATACAATCTCCGTAATTATACAGTAAAACAGGGTAGATTTATACAACAATAATCTATACTGCCTTACTAAGCAATTACAGTTCCGAAACTGCAACAAGGTTTAAGGTGACTTAAATAACCCTCACCTACTTCAAGTTATTATGAAATAACACAAGTTGATTAAGAAGGCGATTATTAATAGTCCTCACTAGACTGTAACGGAAACCTGCACCCAGTAAACCTCAACGAGGAAAGCAAGCTCCCAGACCAGGACTGCAACCAATCGTCGCTATGCCAACAAGCAGGGAAAAATGGCACATAATCCTTCTAGTCTAAGCTCTACTAATTCCCCAATTAACTGATTCACACGGGTTCCCTAACGCTATAACCCTAAACGAGACTGTCTAACACTCCACCAATCTTCAAAGAGATCTGATATAATCGGCAGCTCCAGCAAATGAGAACAAGCACCACACTTACCTATCGCACCGGGCACACTTGAGGTAGATCCCCAACCACCAGCGGTCGTACGTGAGATTTACACTCACAACTCAGAAGACAACACAACTCCACAGAGCTCTGGTTAGCACGCTGCCACCTTGGGAAGTCCCGGCAACCCAGGCAGCCAGCGCCCAGACCTTAGGTAATGCGCGCCTCTGATTGGTTGCCGCGTGCATGTTTAATGCATGATTTACACGCCACGAATTTTCAGTGCCCAGACTAAACACAAGTCTGCGCAGCTTCCCTGTTTCGCCCCAGGACTGTAAAGTTAAAGGCTACGACCTTTTGCTCTAAATGTCACATAAATTATTTGTGTTTTCCTCGTTATTCTGTGTACGTGTGCTCCCAAAAAGGATGACATCTTTATTTGAAACCGTGACCAACTTTGAACTCAATTTTCGCAACACACCGCTCCTCGCCCAGTAACCAGACGATTTCTTCATAGAAATTAAGTCCATTGTCTTACAACTGCTTCGCAAACTGTTCCATCAGTTAGTTATAGGACACGGCTTGTTCTCCTAATGAAAAAGAGTCCAGGAAAAAATTGGTAGGGAAAAATGATCGGCAGTGGGCTAGTGAGACATATCCACATTAAGTAATGTATCACTCTCAACTTGCTTGACTTCCTTGCTCTATGGTTTGGAGACACCAGCCTAGCAGTTCTGCAGACTACAGGGTTTGTTTGCCGTAATGCCCCTCACTAGAGTTCCCTGCAGTACGCATCACTGACTATGAACGAGTGAATAATGAGAATAGGCCTAAACAATCCCAGGGCCGCACCGTCTGCACAATGCCAGGAAAGCTGATGCACAGGTGGCGTGATCTAGGGTCATGGCCGTGATTTCAGTGCTCTGTTGTCTGGTAAATCCCCCTTGCGAAATACGATGCACCAAGGGTCCACTTTAAAATGTGGTTTACATGCAGAGCTGTATTATGAGAGCTGCGAGAGCAACAATATGAAGCAAACTATTGGAAAGAGAGCGCCCCCGCCTTTTTGCTGGTCATTGTTATACTGGTATCTCAGGAATTCTTTTCAGACATCTAAGTAACCATAGGCTGGAGTATGTATAGGGATTGGACATGTGTGTGTGTGGGGGGGGTACGTTACGCCTCTGTGCCATTTCGTGCCTGTATATAGTGGCGCCAACTTCAGACTTTGGAACCAAAATGGCTGTTTATCGTCTGTGCAATGCTGCATACGGCTGCTGTGTGCTAATTGTCCATGTGCACATGGCGCACCTTAGTGACATCTGTTCAAGTTAAAGTTACCTTTGATTATCTAAGATATCTTCATTTCTTTCAGGATTATCTCCCATTATTTAAAGATACCCTGAAAAAACTCTTTGACATTTAAAAACCTTTGATCGATGATTTTGAGATACTTGTGATGACATCCTGAGACAGACATAAGAAAGACACAGTAGTAGGTATATGCCGGTTCTGGGTCACCTCCCCTTTTACCCTCTTTCCTCCTCTCTGCCGGGGTTTCCCACTTCACTCAGCGGCTTGACCTTTTGACCCCGGCGCACTTTTTTTGTCAACAACTCGCTACGTGCGCCAACCTGCCCAGACCTCACACAAACAACCTAGACCTCTGACCCCGTGGCTCTGAAACAAAGAAAAGGGAGTTTTCCTCGACTTTAATACCCGGTCGCTACAAGTCGCGACTTTCCCGGCCTGAACTCGTGACTTCTTACAGTGTACAACCGCCTTAAATAAACGGACTGTATATAAAAATAACAATATATAAAAAAACATGTCAAGTCAAGTTAATAGAAAAAATGAGAAAAATTTTCAAAACCTATATACAAATAGAGACATGAAAACCCCAAAACACAGACCTCTACTATCGACCTTTAATCGATTTAAGAAGGCGTTTTTAGAAGATTTTTGTCAAGCGTTATGAAATCCCACTATCGGCACCCAAGCGTAAATTCCTCACCAAACCAGAGCTCGTTGAAGCCATACGGGCAGACCAAAGGCAATTTAGATACTTCCCGCCTCAGTCATATCGCCAGCTGTTGAAAACGATTCAAAAAAACAATATTTCTTTTGCACACAAAGACAGATATGTTAAACAAGACTTTATTGAAGCGATAAAAATTACACTCAGCCCGAGGAAATTGCAGTCGACATTAGAAACGTGAGGCGCTTTCAGGGTAACTACCGCAATAGGGAGTTGATACCCAGTTTTTTTGAATACCACCTTGTGCACTTTTTTGATTTTTACAAGACTTTCGTCGAGAAGAAAGCGTTAGAGGAGTTAAAGGAAACTGATTCTTACAAACTGCAAATGGCTCTAAAAGTGCAGTTTAGATTGGAAAAACCCGACCAAACCGACTTTGGCGTATTTACCTTTCCGAGCGAAAATAAATTAGTTGCAAATAAAGCCGACGTAAAAAAGGCAGTTGCTGATCAGAGGCAAAAACAGATAGAGGACATGGAGGCTCATACACAACAAGGATCGGGATGGATCTTTGATAAAGTTGTCGCTTTTTACATCAACCTGGTCAAATACAACCCGGTGGGTGCGACTTACATTCCACTACCTGCACAATTGGGGCACAAAAAAAGCAATCACCAACGTCCAAAACAACGACCGGCAGTGCATGGGCACTGAGAGCAGCTTTATAATTGTATTCAGCCCACGTAAAAAGTCAAATTAAAGTTAATTCAAAATATGATATGAACGACAAGCGCACCTCGACTTACACAGAAGCAGATTGTCTAAATTTCACAAACATAAGCTTTCCGACACCAATTTCACAACTCCCACGCATCGAATCACAAAATGATTTAGCAATCAACGTGTTTGGTTACGACAAAAACGGTCTTTACATTGTTTGCAAAAGTAAGCGCTTATAGGTGGGCCGAATTTACTTTACCCAAGGTGCAAGGAGCCACTATTGCTGGATTAAAAACTTTTTTCGGTTGACGGGTGACGTTGGTAAACAGGAACATAAAAAATATTGGTGTTTTAACCGCATGCCGCACTTTCAGACAGAAGAAAAGTTAACCAGACACAAAGAAGATTGCCAAGGGTTAGATGCAGCTCCCAGTAAAGTCGAATTACCCGCCGAAGGCAAAACCATTTTACAATTTGACAACTATAAGAACAAACAAGTTACCCCTTTTGCCATTGACGCTGATTTTGAGTCTGTTTTAGAAAAATTACCCAACGAAAAATCTAACACGATCAAAATACAAATCCAAAAACCCTGTGGCTACTCGTACGCGGTTGTCAGATGTGACGGTAAATGTACTAGCTAAAGACCTACAGAGGCCAAGGCGCAGCAGGTGATTTTGTTAGGTCACTTTCTGAAGAAGTAGACAAGATAAACGAGGATTTAAGAGACAAAAATCCGTCGGGTTTGGACTGAATAGTTCTAAAGATCTACAAAAACTGCAACCGCTGCTGGAGCTGTGAAAGACTCGTTGACAAAACGCCAAATACTCAGTGTAAATGTAAAATACTCAAAGAACCCAGAAAAAAGAAGGGAAAAGAAGCAAACAGTACTACAAACAAATCCAGTTCAAAGAGTTTTTTGTATGTCACGTGGTAAGCTAATTAACAGGTTTAGAAAAGTGAAAGATCACTGTCAAGTGACTGGTAAGTTCAGAGGCCCAGCGCACGCTTTTTGCAACTTAAAACTTAAAGTCGTCCCGTATCGAACGCCCATTCCGACTGATTATTTTACACAACTTGGAGAAACACGACGCGCACTTAATTATGCAAGGCGCTCACGAGTTTAACGGGAACGAAATCAAATTAGTTGCTAAAACACTGAAAACTACATCTCGTTTTCATTTGGTCAACTCAGGTTTTTAGACTCGTTTTACTTCATGGCAGCCTCGCTAGATCGGTTGGTATTAAAAACTGTTCTAAAGAAGACTTTGGTTGCTTCAATAATGTGAAAGATTCCCAGAAAACACAGATATGTTGTTTGAAAAGGGATTTTCCCCTTATGAATACATCAACTCTTTTTATAGGTTTGAAGAGACCAACTTACCGCCTAGAGACTCGTTTTACAGTTCTCTAAAGCAGTCTACCGTGACCGAGAAAGAACACCTCAGAGCACAGACAGTTTGGCAAGCTTTTAACTGCAAAAACCTAGGCACCTACCACGACCTATATGTGTAAACGGGCGTGTTATTGCTAGCGGGTGTTTTTGAGAACTTTCGTAAAGTCTGTAAACAGCACTACGGCCTTGACTCAGCCAACTATTACACGTCGCCTGGCTTATCTTGGAACGGCGTTGTTAAAGCACACGGGTTTTAAACTGGAACTATTGACAGATATTGATAAGCACCTGTTCTTTGAAAGGGCAAAAAGAAGTGGTATATTTAGCGTGGGTGAAAAGTGCTTTGCAAAAGCGAACAATTTGAGTTTACCAGACTATGACCCCATTAAGCCAGAGTCTCATATCATGTACTTAGACGCAAATAATTTATACTGTTGGGCCATGTCCGTGGGTGAGTTTAAGTGGGTTGAAAACTTAGACGAGTTTACCCCTGAGTTTATTCTTAAAATTCCACCAAATGACACGCTTGGGTACATGTTTGGGTACATGTTTGAAGTGACTATCCGCAAGACTTGCACGACAAACACAATGACTTCCCACTAGCGCCTGAAAATTTAGTAGTGCCTTAGCTAATGAATGGTTTTTCAAGCTACCAGCAAAAATTAATTTACAACGGCGAACTTGTATCACAAGTAAACAAACTCGTGGCCACCTTAGGTACCAATCATAAATACGTGGTTTATTACCAAACTTTACAGAAATATTTAGAACTAGGATTAGAATTTAAAAAGGTGCATCGCGTTATGTCGTTTAAACAGTGGCCTTGGATGAGAGCTATATCGATAAAAATATTGAGTTACGCAAATCGGCCAAGCATTACCAGCACAATGTCGTAAAAGTTGGTACCTTAATCCTGCCCGAACTTACTCTTTATACTAAGTTTTGCGGTTTTTGTCATAAAAAACGAGAGCTGGGGGGTTGGGTTGCAGGCTGCCTTGGGCTGCAGCCCGCGTTATTTGCGGTCAGGTAATCGCCACAGTTGATTGGTTAACAAAGTGAAATGGGTATAGCAGCAGTGACCGGTCAACACAGAATGTTGTAAAGTCACCTCCATAGTATTGACACAGCGTTTCCTGGGGGGCGGGCCTTAGACTGAAGTAATGTTGGAAAGTACTGTTGCCAATAATTTGTTTTTCTCATTTACACAAATCCTGAGGGGGTAGGTTATATATCTCCCCACCTTTGGTGGTGAGATGATGGGCCGTGGAATCATCCCACACCTTTTTTTGTGATGAGCAAAAAAGTTGATTTGTAAAATGATTTTAATATTGTCACAGGTTGGCTATCGATTGTCATAGTCGAGACCTGTGCCGGTCCGATAATTTGTTTTACAAGGGAAATCTGCTCGAAAGAATCCAAACGGACAGCTTCTTATGTTGATCCTCAAATAATCTTATTGCTAGAATACACTACAAATACAATTACTCAAAGTACATGGCGATATACAAGAAATACCAACAGTGGATGGACAGGCAATTTAAAACATACACTTAAATCCAAAACACAGGATTCAAAGCAATCCAATCAATAACTGGAAAAGGAACCAAAATGACTTATACAGAAAAAAATGCAATCCCTTATACAATCAAGATATTAACAAAATAACTAAACCAGGCTTAGCTGTGATCTTGATCTTGCTTGATCCAACTTGACCATTGGACATGGGTGCAGCTCAAAGTCCTTGGTAGTCCTTCGCTAGGTCAAGAGACTCACAGACCCAGCATGGTGATGGGGAAAAGGGTCTAAGTGAAGAA